AGTGTAAGTAATACGCATCGCTTGTTTACGGCAAGCAACCGTATCGAATGTCAGCGGTAAGCGAATGCGCGCGTATGACGGCGGCCCGTGGTCACGCACATAGCATCACTAAACAGCTCACAGCGTCCCATTGCGAACTAACGAAATGCCGAGGGTCGAAACTTTTAACGCGAATGGTCGAGCTATTCCTGTTCTCTCATTCTTGCCTAAGACGATATACGAGTTCGCTCGCCATCAACATCGACCTCGATATTAACATAATAATAAGGGCCGCGTAGCTGTTCCAGCTCAGCGCTGCGAGCATCAACACATAGTGGCAACTGTGCGACGGCGACTGACGATTGTCACAGTCAGTCAATGATGGCTATCAGGGATGACCTTGCACTGACATTGCATTGGTAAGGATGCGAGTGATTAACGGATGACCAGCATGCAGACACGCATCGTATGCGCAGCTAGTATCCCTCGCTCTGCGGCGGGATTGCAGACAGAGACAAAACACGTCTATTTCACGCGTTCATGTTGGATAACAGAGAACACCGGTGCAGTGTTCAGCCCTTTTATCAAAAAACCTCCGAACAGATCAGACAGCTAATGTGCTATACTCACTATATACAGACGCCTCAAGACCATAAACGTAGAGTGAGCCCACCGTGTTTACGTTTTTGCCGCTGTGACGGAGTTATACCTTTATACTGTGGTATTACTTGTGGTTATTGCTTCTGTTGCTTATTGCTCCTTATTGCTCTTGCCGTGCTCTTCTGTTGCTTATTGCTACTGTGGTTATTGCTTCGAGCTGCTCTCGCTATGTATAGTAGCGAAGGCAGCTCGAAGCAATTAATAGTATAAAGGTATACTCGCTTTTACCTAAGGCAATGTCATTCATCAGCAATGTCATTGAATATTTTCACCTCAACAGGTGTAATCAGCGCGAGTCAGAGGCATTCAAACGGGGACGCGCGTTAGTTGCCCTCTGTGTTTTCCACGTACGTCTCAGGTGACTGTGATCGTTGGGTAGCGCTTGCACGAGACATGCCCGTCCAGTTATACACACACACACTTTACTACTAGGAAAGGGCAAATAGTTCCCCCGAACTGCAATTTCCTTCCAAAAATGTCTGAACTGTAAATACGTACCACAGACGCCCCTAAGTAACTGTCCCTAGTTAACTTAATCTAATTGGGTTCTAATTTCAAAATTTCTCATGCTAGATCGTGTTATATGTTCCCTATAATCCGACCTATCAATGAAGCAAGGAATTAATTAGATCTAACCCCGTCTGTTTCCCAGCAGCATCCTGTGATGCTAAAATCCTCCAGTCAAGGAAATGTTCATCCTGGCTCACCTTGTGTGAATGCATTGACAGTGGCGCCCTCTGCATCTACAAGCGTCCCGTACTGCGGCGGCTGCGTGATCGTGTACGTCACGCCCTCTGGCGAGCTGTCCTTGTCCTCGACACGCAGGGCGTCGCTTGACAGGCGCGCGCCGACGGCGTCGGCCGGGAAGCCGGGCAGACGAACGAGCGAGTGCGCACCACGGTTCGCTACCAGCTCCGGTCGCCGGTCGTCGACGGGAACGATGCTGACGTGCACCGTCAGGGGGCGCTGCGCTGGCTCGTCGAGCCGCGGGTGAGCGTAGAAGCCTGGTCGGCCGCCGGCGCTCGCGACGAGCGCGAACGTGTCGGCGAGGGACTCGCTGCCGTCGTGTCGGTAGCCGACGCGGCCCGCATTGACGTCGTCCATCGTGAAGAAGCTGACGCTACGATCGCCGTCGACAACGATGTCGCCGTGCTCGGGCGCCGTCGCCACGCCGACGCCCAGTTTCCCGGCGGCGACGCCCGCCGCGTCAACGCTCAGCTCTCGCCGCGAGATCGCGGCACTGCCGCCCTCCTCGCAGACGAGATCGCGCACGCGCACGACCGGCAGTCGTCCGTTACGCGGTTTTTGTTTCGGCGGTCGGAAAGGGGCGCCGACGTCGTCGCGCCGTAGCACGATGACATCGACGACGTAGTCGACAGCGTGGCGAGGACCGTCGGTGACGCGGAGAGTAAAGCGGTCGCGCCGTGCGTCGCCACCGTCGTGTCGGTACGCGACCGACGTCGCCTCGGCGACCTGCGCCAGCGTGAAGTTAGCGGCAGAGCGGAGAGCGCCACCGCTGCGCGCGAGGATGGCGCCGTGGCGCGGCGGACGCGTGACGACAAAGACGACGTCCTCGTCGGCTGTGTCGGCGTCCACGGCGTTTAGAATCGGAAGGTCGATGTAGAGCGTGGCGCCCTCTATGACTGTGAACTCGCGCTTGAAGATAACGGGCGCTTCGTCGCCCGTCGGCCGAATCGCGATGACGAGCTGGTACTCCGGCGACACCTGGTGGCCGTCGGAGCAGCGCGCGGCGAAGGCGTCGTGCGTCGCCGCCTGGCGGTCGGCGCTGTGCGCGTAGACCAGCCTGCCCGCGGCGACGTCGGCAGCCGTGAATGTGATCAGTGGCGCCCTCGTGTTGCCGTAGCGGACGTCGCCGACGACGAGGTGTCCGTGTCGCGGGTGACGCGTCACCGTGCATGCGACGTCGCTCGCCGGCGTGTCCGGGTCGTACACGCTAAACGCCGCTGCTCCGATGACCGCCTGCCCTCCCCGCGCGACGACGACCTGCGACGTGCCAACCGTCACGTTGGGCGACGCGTTGTCGACGGGCGTGACGGTGACGAACACCGTGATGACGTCCCCTCCTCCGTCGTCGTCGTCGTCGTCGCCGCGGTTGTCGGCTCGCAGCGTGAACTCGTCGCGGGCGGTCGCCGTGCCGATCTCGCCGCCGTCGTGCAGGTAGCTGACGACGCCCGCCATCAGCTGCCTCCGCGTGAACGCGTTGCCAGGGCGACCGACGACGAGGATGAGTCCTTCACGCGGCTCTCTCGTCAGCGTGTACGCGACGTCGCCGCCGATGACGCTGGCGCCACCTGGCATCTCGGCGGGTCCCAGGATGACGGATCCTCTCTCTGGGACGTCGACCCAGGCGGTGAGCTCCTCCCACGCGCCTACTTTCCCGGAACCTTCCTCCAACGGCGTGTCGGCGGCGATCGTGAGAGGTGCGAGCGAGCGGGAAGCATCCCCGATGTGTGCCGATGCAGACGGACTCTTCTCGGCTCTGCTCAGCGCGTCGCCATCACTGACGACGACGACGACGACGACGACAACGATGACGATGAGCATCGGAGCGGAGCAACGCATGCTGTCATGTGCGGTGGCGGCAGCGGTGGTGATAGTGGTAGTGAAGGAGAAGGAGGAAGAGGAGGAGGAGGAGAGGAAGGCTTTCCCGTGCGTGCTCGACTCCGTACGGAGAACATCTGGCCGTGCTCGAAAGAGCGCAGCGGCAGCGGTAGTAGTGGCTGTTGTTTTAAACCGGCGTGGAAACACGTGTGGATGTGTGTAGGGTTGGTGCGTCCATGTGTGTGTGCGTTCGCTGTAACTTGTAAGATTAAGGTAATTATTGAGAAAGAGAAGGGGATGGGCAAGACGGAGAGAGGGACAGCAAGCGAAAGAGATCAAATTTAATGAGAGAGAAAGTTAGGAAGAGAGCGAAAGAGGGAGAGGGAGAAAAAGAAGAAAAAACGAAAGGGAAAAGGCGAGGGAGGGTACGAAGGAGTGAGTGTGTGAGAGCGAGCGCAAGAGAGAGAGAGAGAGAGAGAGAGATAAGGGGGAGGGGAGACACAAAGGGCGGAGAAAGAGAGAGAGAGAGAGAGAGAGAGAGAGAGAGAGAGAGAGAGCGCGGGACCGCTGCTGCCGCCGCCCGACACCACACTAAATAATCACAGTAAGACTATCTCACGGGCGGCTTGTATTATGCCCTCTATTAGTGGAGGTTCTCGCCCCGGGGTCGGCCGGAGAAGCCGGTGCTGACCTCTTGCCGTACTCCCGCGGCCCGTGCAATCTACGAATGTATCAGAGATGAAGCGATATAGACGAATAACAACAGCAGGTGGTGCGGGTATGTAAACAGAGATTTCTCTCGGCTGTGGAGCAATGAGTGTGTAATAGTTGTAGTGGGGAGGGAGGTACGGAAGCAGGGACATTGGCCCCGGCAACTCGGGCGGCATGCTTGCCGGGCTGCGCGCGTGCGAGTCTGTGTGCAGGTAGACGGGATACAGCGATGTATGCGAACACAAACACGCACGCACGCACGCACGGACGCACGCACGCCACGCACACACACACACACACACACACACACACACACAAACACACACAACACACACACACACACACACATACATATATATATATATTATATATATATATATATATAATATATACGCACGCGCGCCACTGACGCAACGCACGACACACACCAACTAGTATTTTACTCGCATCTGAAGAGTGGGATGAGAGGGATGTCCGAGAAACATCTACACATGAAAGACACGTATTATGCACGTGTTACACTCACCTATCCATTCCCATTACCCCACCCCTCCTCCCCTCCCGCCCCTCCTCGCCGCAACTACGTATCAGTATATGCCAAATAACGCAGAAACATATGTCTGAGCTCGGGCACGACCCAGGTATAAACGACTAGCAGAATCCACCTACCATCTACCTAGACACGGCTGGGGCAGTTACACTAGCCTTGGCTCTACAGTGCTTACTATAACTCGACACCTATGTGGTTTGATTTAGACTAGTCGTGGCTCTAAATTTCCTCGCTATATCTCTACATCCTTGCTCGTGTGTACCCCCAAGATGACTCTTTAAGCAGTGAAGACTGCACAATCACATCTAACAGCTACGTATAGAGCTGTAAACTAATTTACTAGGAGATGAATGGATGCAGATGCAGTCTCATGGTTGGTTACATGTATTTGGGGTCAATAGACACCCTATTAGTCAGGTGGTTTAGGCCCAGATCTGAGAATGGGGACATTCCGGATAAAAGCACCAAACTTTTTCCATGTAATATTCATTGCCTTAGGTTTCTTTTTTTATTGGATAATGGCATATGCATCAGTGACAAAAAACGTGAACGTAAAATCTCGTAGGTAATTTCTATTATACTGGATATATTTTACACAAGTAAGAAATTACATTAAAATGCCCATACGAAATATACAAAATAGGCATGTCTTACTATATAAGCATATATATGTATATGATTGTAGGCCTATGTATTGCTTGTGGCCGAATTGACATCATGATGAAATTAATACATATTTGATCAACTATGAAAGATATATGTATATATGCACATGTCTATGTATTTATATAAATGTCAATAATAGCTATATATATACACCGGAGCTGATGTGAACCTGCTCTGTACTCTGCCACTCGATATTGTCAGCATGATCAATGTCTGCTGGCAGCATACATTTCACCACTGTCTGCTCTCTAACAGCCCCAACCCCGTCTGATATCGCATACTCATGCACGCGACATGGCCTGCTGCTACCGTGCCTCCATCTACGCTGCCTATCAATAGGGAGCACACGCAGCGCATTGGGCGAATGATGCCGCGTGGTTGCCGTGACGACGTACGGCTGGACGTCCGACGCGCAGTATGTTGTGCTTGCCGCACCACCGCCGTCGGATGCTCTCTTGTCGACACTGCATCCAACGGGTTTCCGCGGCAACTGCTGCCGCCGCTGCTGCTGCTGCTGCTGCTGCTGCTGCTGCTGCTGCTGCTGCTGCACATACGAGTGGACGAGATCCGGGTATTTGCGCGATTTCTTGCGAGACGACGTCACTTTCATCGTCGATGCCGTCGTTGAGCAGCGAAAGTAGATGAGAGTGCCGATGGTGAAGTAGAGGAACAAGCCAACACCAACCATGGTGATCACCTGCCAAGCAGCTAGACCTAATGCAAACAACAACGAAACACACAATGATTTCTCACGGCCATTGTCTTGTAATTCCTTTGAGGCCTGCACTTCATTTATATTTTTAAATTAATTTCATTACTTAACAGGCTTCGCACTTCAAAAGCACCTCTTTTCGCTTCAAATAATAAGAGGAATTCTGATTCAGTGCTTCCATCTGACACACACATACGCACGCACGCACGCACACACACAGGCACGTACGCACGCACACACTATAGATAGATAGATAGATAGATAGATAGATAGATAGATAGATAGATAGATAGATAGATAGATAGATAGATAGATAGATAGATAGATAGATTTGTTATACGTTTATCATGTAGCGTGTCAAAGTGGTAAGCTGCATATTTCTGCTAGTGACCTTTGGATTCCTGGTGTGTCTGCTAACCAGCGGCTTGCATACCGGTATTCATCCGCTCTCTTTACTCCATCAGGCAATAAGTCAGGATTGTGATCACCAGTGAACACTTGTGCGCATGCGTGCGTGTAAGTGCGCATGCGAGCGCGTGCATTTCGCGCGACTTCATGGTTTTTCCGCCAAACGATATAGTACATCGCCAATGACGACGACGATGACGACGATGCCGTCAAACGTCGCTGACGCTATCGAGTGAGCGGAAACGGAAGCGTGATCGGAAGCCTATCAGCGAAACTCGGCAGTGATCGCACTACGTCAGTGCGTGCGTGCCTGTGTGTGCGTGCGTGCGCATAAACTCACACCTAGATGACAATGTTGTGCCCGGACGGTGACTATCACAGCAACTGCACGCTGAGACGCGCCACTACCGCGTCGCCTACCGACGTACCGGTGCCGGTTAGAGGTGACCCCATGGGGAGCGGTGCGGCCGACGGCAGCGATGACGATGACGATAGCCACAGCATAGTCGAGAAGCTGGTGATCATCCTGCCGATCATACTCGTCGTCTGCTTGTACATGATCGGCGTCATTATGCTGAACCATCGCAGGTGGCGACGGAGGCGCCACCAAGAGGACGAACAACAACCTAATGAAATTAGCTGTAAGTAGTGTGCGTGTGCGTGTGCGTGCGTGTGCGTGTGAGCGTGCGCGTGCGTGTGCGTGCGCGTGCGTGTGCGTCTGCGTGTGCGTGTGCGTGTGCGTATGCGTGTGCGCGTGCGTGTGCGCATGTGTGTGTCCCCACAGACACACACACACAGACATAATTGAAGCCTAGTGGGTGCGTTGTGCCTTCTCCAATTACAACTGCATTGCCGCTTGCGAATCCACAGCCTCCATGAAAGCTGTGAGAGCATGGATGTTGAAGCACTTACCCAACTGGCACGCTGCCAGATTGATCTGAGTCGCCTCGTCGCTTCCGTCCGCGCAGTTGTCATGACGGTTGCACAGCAACTCATTGTCTACACACCTGACTTGGCTTTCACACAAATACTGGCCAATCGAGCAATTCGGTCCTACAATAACAGCAATGATGACAGAGGATAAAAGGGATAAAGATACAGTACATGGGGGCGAATCATGCCGCGGGCGCTGAACATTCATTAATCCGTCCAACACAACGGCGCAATTCCAATTACGAGATGGGATTCACAGCTACGCAGTAAGGCGAGCGGATTCCCCTGTTAACGAGACCTCACGGGGCGAAATATCTCACAATGGTACGGATTCGTGTTGCATGCATGACGCTGACACAATGAATGCACAGCTTTTTCTTCGGCAAGCCACTACCTTATTGCCGTGGCAACGCTTAAAGCCGCACTATGCGCATCCAAACGGTAATTTCTCCAGTACTAGACTAGCAAATACTTAGTTTCATGCATAGTCACACTACCTTATGGCAACATAAACTCTAGTTCCATTTCACTGCGCGTTTGCTTAAAACCCACAAGAAAGAAGTGTGAAATCTGGTAATCTGGTGCCAACGCTAAATTGTTTGCCAAACAATTTCGCCAAGAATCGGTTAGGTGACGTCACATGTTTTTATCTTTGCTACACCCGTACCGCTGTACCGCAGCACCGCTGCACGGTTGCCTGGGAGAGCAACGCGAAAGTGTCAACAACATCGGAGAATTTGAACAATATTGGAGGTATTTTCAAATGCCTTTTATAAGACAATGCGCAGCGAAATGGGAGGAACTAGAGTTTATTTTGTCATAAGGTAGTATGATTATGCATGACACGAAGTATTTGCTAGTCTAGTACTGGAGAAATTAGAGTGTAGATGCGCATAGTGCGGCTTTAAACAGTTTCCATCTTCCCTTATCCTGACTGTTCCCACCTTAATCGCACTGACTGTGCGAAACTTTATCAGTTTTAGAATGATTACATTTTTGCATTTCACGTTGAGGTTGACTTGCATGTGCAGATGTCTACACTAGTTAGCTGTGAGGCAGAACAGGACACGGTGTCCTTACACGTCCCATTTACTGACACAAATCCACGCGGCTTGCCCGAGTTCCTGCACACAAGAAACGCAGAGCCAACGACAAATCCCATCAACAAGAGCTCCAAGGGGCACCCCTCCCGCTCTCTTGCCAGTCACCGTTAATTTTTAACACTCGACGAAAAAAAATACGGCTGATGTGCCGCAGGAACGCACACGCCTTAGAGGGGATTAGTGAGCCGAAGCGTAAAAAAATGCACCGGATTAATGGGCTTGTGACGCCGTAAACAACGTGAGGGGGTCGCGGCGTCGCCGGCGCCACTGCTCACCGGCCGTGAACGACGTGTAGAGCAGCGTGAAGCCTACGCGGCGGCGATATACAACGTAGTCATTCGGACTGACAAACTCCAGCGTGACGAAGTTGCCCGTCGATGAGAACAGCCACGTGGCGTCGCCACACATGCCACCAGGAGGCGTGAGTTTCTGCGAGAAGGCGTCGGATCCATCGTAGACAACGAGGAAATCCCTGCAGAGGCCTGCAGGCAAAGCAACACGCGTTAGAGGGGGCGTCATGTGCTCCTGAGGTGTACAGATTTTGGAACCATGTGACTCCCTGAAATATCCAAAGTTGTGGATATTCAAAGGTCGAGTAAAAGCTAAATGCAGTAAAATACAGCTTCCACTGTATTTATATTCTACGATAAACAATGTACAGAAGCTAACACTATAATTTCCATCATTCCGGCGGTTACTTCAAATTTAATGAGTTATTGATGTCTTTAGTTTTAAACTTCAGACTGCAAGCTCCTTCATTTTGATGAGGGCTCCTTCACTTTGCTGCAAATTCCACATTTTCGATTGCAGGATGTCTGATGAACACACTTGATCAATGGTTAATATCTACCTCAGCACGGTTTCTTCTGGGGGAAAATTAGACAAAGGAGGTAATGGCCAGTTTGGGAAAAAAACGTGCATGATGGATTCAAAGGCGTGCCGTAGGTGGTGATCTATTTATTTTTGGGTGGTTACAGGAGCATTTTCACAATGGCGATGTTAAATTTGACAATGGCAGTGCGCCACTGTGGCTCTTATGTATAAGAAACCCTGCTCAGTAGTAAATAGTAGCAGTTTGAATGTCATAACCACACACGTTGTTGCAGCATAACGAGGAAAATGCTAGTCGTCATTCAGGGCCGTAGGCTGAGCAAATTCCATCGGGGGAGAGGGGAGCAAAATTTTATGACTCAACTGTGTAATGATGCAGTCTGCGAAATTAACCACTGGCCCGGTATCCGAGGCCAGTCAATTTTCTGTGGGGCCAATGAAACTGGTAAATGAAGAAGCCCGATGGGCCAGTGGAAAAAAAAAATGGAGTAAATATTCTATTAATGATATTTCAGCTTCTTTATGTGATGATCAGTCTGAGAATTTACCGAAATTCTCGATATTTTGTATGAAAATTTACCGATATTTACCGATAGGGCATCATATTCCCGATCTTAAGTAGGGGAAGTAACTAGTCAACACCATGCGTGTTTGTCGTCGCTAGAAGTCGCAACAACTTCCGGTTTCCGGTCCGGTTCGGTTTTTCTTTTCATAATATGATGATCATTGATTCAGGCCTGTAAAACCTAGTGTGGGCCAGTGAATTATACATTTCTACAGGCCTGCTGGGCCAATGAGGGTGGAAGTTTTTCGTGCAGACTGATGATGAGCGACGGGCTCAGTTCTTGATCGACGTCCATAGCGTGGTACGGGTGGGTCTGAGACAAGGCTTTCACGGATAAGTGACCAAAAAAATCACTTTAGGTTTATTTTACGATTATTAGCTAAGCTTATTTTTTAATTTTGCTCAAAAATCTAAGGGGCAGCTGCCCCCCCCCCCAGAGGCTACAGCCCTGTCATTACCAATCTCATTTCCACTGATGTCGACAGAGAGGAACTTGAGCAGGACCATGCGTTCAGGCGGTGCTTCTATCGTCAGCATGCACGTCCAGTTAGTGCGGTAGAAGGTGCTTGCTGTCAGTGAGAGAAGCCCACTGGACTGCTCCCTGTAGTCTGCATGCAGCCTCCGTTCATAGCAGTACTCGTCCATGTAATCTGCAGCAAAGACACACACACACACACATACAGCTAGCCACGTGTTCAGTATACTGTTAGGTAAATACATAAATGCATGTACGGTTGCCTATGTAAATACATACTCCATAGTGAAATCAGGAGTAACTAAAACAAATGTTCATTTTCATTCCAGTTAAAATGGAGAAATAGTGAAATACTTTGTTTCTTCCTGGAATTTCGGGAAATGCTGCTTGGCTTTCACCAAACTCGATCCAATTTCACTAGGTATGATAAAACTTTACAGTGCTCAAACAGTGTGGTCAGCAAAGGCTTAAGGATACTCTCCACGTTGTGCACGGGTATTGCTCTAGTGAAGATTAAACATTTATTGGTGAATGAATCGAATCAATCACTTGTTTTATTTATAGAGGAGATATATCTCTATGCTCAAGCCAAAAAATTTCATGAAATTTCCAGCACCTAATTATGTTACCACACAAATTTTGAATTTTTATGTAAAAATAGTATTTTGGATATTTCTCAACTACCACAAAGAGTGAGGATACAACATTTTTGCCACATGTTAAGCACAATATGGACCAAAATAGCGCGTCAGGATTTTTCTTTAATTTTCATATTTACCAAGAAAACTCGAAAAAAAACTGCTTAAAAATCAAGTTGTGTTAAAATAGAAAATGTTAGCGAATAAAGAGGCATAACTAATAAAGTACGGCACTTAATAACAATCCCTGATGCGCTTCTTTACCACAATATGTTACCATTAAAACGAGTGTAAAATTAAATTAATCCGAGTTGTAATCACAGAGAAATATCCATTTATACATCGGCTACTATGTCAGAAATCGAAACGAAGAAATCAGCGTTTTTCTATTTTTCACAATGAGTGACCGCCTGTGTGCAAAATGGGTGAACGTATGTGAAATATCTACTGTAAGTACTTACTGCGACATATCCGTGACTAACTGACACCACTAAATTGGTAAAATGTTCCATGCACCTTGAGAAATTCTGAGAAATTACGAGCAGGGTTCATAGTAGTAAGCCACATGTTGAAATAAGGACTTATAAGACCCTTTCTGGAGGCCAAAATAAGACTTTTTTACGCGATTTCTGATAGATCACCGACTATTAAAGTACACTAATAATGGA